TATTATTATTATTATTATTATTATTATTATTATTATTATTATTATTATTATTATTATTATTATTATTATTATTATGGGCTTGATATATAATAATAATAGTAGTGAAGCTCTTAATAAATAATTTTTGACTCTATTCTCCTAAGTAAATATATAAAACTACTCCTTGCAATTGAAACAAACGAAGCCTTAAGATAAAAACTGTACTTGAAAAACTTTCAAAATGAGTATTTATTTATATCTGCATGTTACTTGGGTTGCTTTGAAATTCTTCAAACTGAATTAACTCAGTGGGAGATATCTTACATCGAATTTTCAGAAGAGAATCTTTCGACGGAACATGATTTGTTTGAGGTTCGAAATGATAAAGACTTTTTTAAAACGGTTACTTGCCTTTTGCTTTATAATAATAATATCTATGTTTACGATCTGGAATGCCTTCGCCTCTAGCGCCTTTGGCACAACCCCACCTTCCTCATCTTAGACCAGCTGGGTCACCTCTATTTCTGTCGTTATATTTACAAATAGACCCACTAACCACCCTTTTACTCTGGACAACATACTTTCCTTTACTCTCCTCACTCAAATTAGGTATATCTGCGTCAAATAATGTACACGAAACAAATCTAGGTACATCTCCTTCTCCCCACAATAAATCGGTCTTTAATTCTCTTCTTCCACATGAATAAACTGGGTTTAGCGAGCACCTTGTTGCGATAAAAGTTCCTCGCGGTAATGGCTACTATTACGGCAAGACGTCGCGTTATCGATCACCTGATCACAAGACGTTGCAGTACACGCGACATTCTTACCAAGATCCGGTTAATTAAAAGAAATACACAATTATTTATACTTTGAAGGTCTGCATTTAGTTTGATCTTAGCATTGTCACCATCAATAATTTACAGAACATAGAGTGGCTCAGAATTGGTAGCGGTAACGTCAAACAATTATCCACATTTTTTGTAGCACAATCAGAAAAACCTGTTAAAGAAACAATTAAAACTTTTCCGATGAAGAATACCAAACAAATACTATCACCGAATCCTCTTAATCTGCTGTCGCTTTGCTCGTGTCACGTTTAAAACATCGGTTAAACTTCAACTTATGTGCGACGCTCACGAAACGCGCACAAATATAGGGGAAATCGGCGTAGCCAAATTATTAATTAATTTGTAATAAGTGTAATTCGGTTAATATTAAATATTATTGTCTCCTGGTAATATGAGCCTTGGAGATTAGTAGCTTTCGAAAAATCGCAATGTTTTTATCAATTGTCAATTTGTTTTACACAGCAGCTTTTTTCACTATACCATAAACAAGAGCAAAAGACCACACATCCAGGTAGAAACGTCAATCGAATACTATTTTTGCCAGCAGAAATTAGGATAGGCCTTTTGAGAAAGCGACACATTAAAATGTGGCACCAATCAATACAATGGCATCAGTTCGAATCACGTGAACTTCTCGGTAGTGATGTCACTATAAGTTTTGATTGACATCTGATGTTGCTCTTCCTGTTCTACCAACATACCCAAAGGATATATCCACTTTGAGGTGTACATAATCCATCCATCATGGTAATTCACATTCAGTCTATCTCTTAGATGAACTTAGCCAAAGGAATGAGAGTAGGAAAAATAAAATATACAAGTTGACTGAGATAGAGTGAGAAACGAATAGTTTAAGCGAAATGTACGATTAAGTATTCGTTGACCAAGAGCCTGCAATACGGAAAAGATGTTGATTTTGAAAGACGTTGATCGATGCAGCATGTTAAGAACATGATTCATGACATCTTTCAAACTATCCTATTCTTGTACTGTGTAATGGCCAGATTAGCTTTATGTGAAGGGGGCATCAACAAACATTAAATCTGATCGGAACAAAAAACGTCATTTCTCACTCAGTGATCCCAATTTCTCCCTTTCACGTTTGCTTTCAATTACCCCATGATGCATTTTTTTTCGTAGGTCCCTCCAACGGAAGGAAAGGCGCCACACACAAATGTAATGCGAGAACTTCGAATCGAGAAACTCGTTCTCAACATCTGCGTTGGAGAATCAGGTGATCGTCTGACTCGTGCTGCGAAAGTGCTCGAGAATCTCACGGGCCAACCGCCGGTCTACTCAAAAGCGCGATATACCGTCCGTTCGTTTGGTATCCGCCGTAATGAAAAGATTGCAGTCCATGTTACGGTCCGCGGACCCAAGGCAGAAGAGATTTTAGAGCGTGGATTAAAAGTAAAAGAGTACGAGTTGAAACGAAGCAACTTCTCGGATACCGGTAATTTCGGTTTTGGTATTCAGGAACATATTGATTTGGGAATTAAATATGATCCGAGTATCGGCATTTATGGTATGGATTTCTATGTGGTGATGGGCCGTCCGGGAGCACGAGTCTCGAGACGACGAAGAGCAAGGAGAAAGATTGGATTCAATCATCGAGTTACTAAAGAGGAGACTGTTAAATGGTTTAAGCAGAGGGTAAGTTGTTGGAATTGGGAATTGAGATGGGGGATGAAATATTACGAGAAATTGTATGTAGGCGATCTTCTAATGATTTGGTTTTTGTCTTTGTAGTTCGATGGTATCGTGCTCAATCGCTAGTTATCCATTTAGTTGCTAATCGATCAGGTGGTTTCGATGAACAATAAAACTATAAAAATTAAACATATTAATGGATTTCATTACATGTATTGGATAGCTGGAATATTAAATATGCCACGGTTATTATTATTATATTATTATTATTTTTCGAGCTGAAAGTGTACATAATTAACTCTATAATTGTACCGACTACTACAACTATCATTAATATGTTGTCGTATCAACTTTCGTTTTGACACATCTATTGTCCGCTAATTCTTGCTAGTGTTGTAATCGGTTGTCTCCACCAGAATTATATCCTCTTCCCGATCTAAGGCACTTGTTAGCAAAATGTCCCTTTTGACCACATTTGAAACATGTAACCTCTGACAATGGACGAAATCCAGCATAATGTTGCTGTTGCTGCTGATGCTGTTGCTGTGGCTGTTGTTGCTGCTGATACTGTTGCTGCTGGTGGTGCTGCTGCTGTTGCGGATGTTGCGGATGTTGCGAATGTTGTTGATGTTGTTGCTGCTGTTGTATTTGCTGTTGGGGATGCTGCTGTTGTTGCTGATGCTGCTGTTGTTGATGGTGATGTTGATGATGATGGTGAGCGTGCTGTATAAACGAGCCATAAGCAATTAATTATAGTTACAAAATGTGAGAATATTCTATGTTTAAGATAATAAATACCTCTTCGAGTTCAACACCTCTCATCATGTCATCTTCAGTCCCGTCAAAATCGCGTTGTACGCTTGGAAGTTCATACTTAGGACTATGTGCAAGTGAGAAATAATAAAAGATATGACAAACAGTGAACACGCATATTCTGGGATATGTAGATCTTTGACCAATATTTTAATACCTACTGTCCATTTGGGCACTCGGGTCCTTTCGGACAAAATCCGGATAGATAAGCCTGACATAAAACCTTTCTCACATGTTTGTGACGACAATTGGGACCTAAAGATTTACAAGGGCAATCAAAGAGTATATTGACAATCTATGGTCGCTGTTGATAATATTGTCATTTTTCATAATTGCGTGCATCCAAATTGAACCAGGATTATATCATAGTGTGTCATAACCATCTCACATTCCTGATATTCCGTAATACTACATTCATAATTTGCCAAACGTACTCACCATGCTTGCAGAATCCTCTCGCGTACCATGCGCATTCTTTGATCTTGCTCTCGGGATCAATATGTAAATACATGCAATCCTCATTACTACATTCCCCATATCGTGAATAAAACCAACATTCGGGCATTTTGCGCATATTAAATTCATGAAGAAATTCACACTGATCCCCCTTCTTGCATAATCCGCGAAGCCAATGTTTACAGACGACAGCTTTTTCTCTTGAATTGTTCGAATGTTTATATTCACATTTTGGGCCCTTGGTACACGTTCCACGTATGTAGAACTGACAAACTTGGTCTACGTTTGGTTTTAATTCAATGAAAAAAAGATTGTTATTGGAATTGGGAATTGGTAAAAAAAAAGATCGTTTATTGAATCTAATTGTTTACATGACACTTCTAAAGTCTTATTCATATAATAATTTTCAGTTCGATGCGTTATTATAAACACGCTCCTTGAGTCTTTATTGTTACTGTTCGATCACCACTCACCAGTACCATTTAATCCTAACCCTATTTCTGTCTTAACATAATCCTCAAAATCAAAAGAAACTCCTCTGTAATCATTCGAGAAGAAGTCTTTCAGAATTGTAGTCTCCATTTTCCAGGGTTTGACTATTACTTCGTTTGAGAACTGAGAGTAACACGTAGAGGTAAGTCTCACCCACATTGACGTTTCTCATAACTTTGCAAATAGATCAGAACATGTTAATATGCTTACACGAAGGGTGAACAGCGCCTGGCCTGGTTCTATGACGTTGAGAAGTGCGTAATGTCAACCATTATATTTACAGTCACATGACATTGATTTTCCTGTAACACTGAATTTAGAGTTATCCCAATTTGGTAATGGGAAGAAGTTCACTGAATATTCGAATCCCGTTCAATATCACAAGAGTTCGTTAATCAAGAGAACCGTGTAGACATTTAAACATATGAAAAATACAATAGTTTTTGATTAACAATTGTTTAGATTAAACTATTGTAAATAAACATATTTCTTCCTTCAAAGAAGTGCGCAAGATTTTATATAGTAAATAAGCTTACCCAATAGTTTAATATAATTGTTCTAGCATGCCTCAATAGTAACGCTTTTTTGTTAAATATTATAATAGACTATATTTTGGTTTCTATACGCTTTTTCAAAATTTAATATCTAATATCGTTGCTTACTAGAGCATTACCATTAATAATAATACCATTTACATACTGTAAAAGAGATTTTTTCAATCAATATTTTACAGTAAAGCGCACTATTTATCAATACCTGTAACCGATGCATTAATCTCGTTAATATTACTGAGTTCTCAATATGACTAAAGTGCTCAATCCGCAGAGTAACAGTTATCACAATGCACACAATTTGAGTGGCGTATTTTGAGTATTACCACGTATAAACGGATAATATCATATGAAACTACAACCATTAGCACACAAGAATAACATACCTTATTGTTTAATTGTGCTCTGCATAAAGTGTTGCTAATTCGTGTTATATTAATTGCATAGCGCGTGAAAATATAGCAAAAAAATTCTGGCAATGGATTTCATTAATATACATGTACTCTCTCTTATCAAGTACTCTTCTTACGTCAAAATACCCTCGAACTAAGTACCCCGTGTACTTTGGCCAGAAAAATACGGTAGACGTGAGTCACTCAGAGTAAAGTATTTATTAATTAATCTTTCTCCACTTGTCGGGCTAACTACAGCGGGAAAGCGTTTAGCAATTGGCCTTGGGATTTATATTTAACTCTTTCAATCGTGGCTTAGTCACCTCGTAAAATTATTAACACGGAATAAAAATAGAAGAAAACTCCTTATCTTAAAATCGGCCCTAATTATACTCACAATGTTTTTAAATTACCGATTGTATAATGCGAATTTTCGATTGTCAATTACACTGTAGCTGTGTCTCTATCATTTATCTATGGAATTAGTTTCGATATGATATGTGTACATGCAGCAATCAACAATCGTATTCAACCAATTCTGAGAATGTGGAACCCCGTAATGTTTTACAACAAGAAGTAAGTAATTAAAAGTGTCGGCTTAAAAAAGATTAGCATTGCTTCAGCGCCAATGATAAATGAAATAGCTTATAATTAATGATGTGGAAGATGCCCAAATTACTAAGTTGGATTTTTTTCAAACGAAGGTTGCTTGAACCCAATTGTATCGACAACAACTGATTGTCACTCTCGAGATTTCGGCTTCTCATTATTATAAAATGGCTCTTAATTATTAGGCCGGTTGCAATTCTTACTACAAAATATAAATGCCACGTTTTCAGTCCCTTATATGATATCATGTGCAACATGTATATTCTTTCGTTATTGGTTGTTACAGATTAAGATAGACATTGTAACTCTGAACAAAGCAGTAAGCGCGCAAATATAACATTAATAGTCACCATATTAATGATAATAATCACGAGCACTAGTAATTAGTTTCATATTAATCGGGTAAGTTTTGTGTTGATGTTGATCAGTTAACAAACAAATAATATCGTTTCCGAATAAGTTTACTGGTTTTGAAAGGGTTCTAAAGCAAATTGAATGATCTGCTTTGCTGGTCGATCATCACAATCAACTTAATGTTATTATAAATATTTATACCCGGATTAATAAAATTGGTAATGAGAACGTACCAATGGGGAAATAACCGACCAACAAAAAAGCTGTTTATGATAGAATATATATGCGAAGACACACAAAAAGGTACTCTGAATCAATAACCGCAAAGCGATTTGAAATGAGGTTGATCATAACGTCAAGAGAGAAAAAAGTAATCTTACTAATGTGATTCGGAAAGAGACAACGCCAAACGAGATCAATCTGAAAAAGCAAGTTAAAATGCTATTTCTATCCAACCTTATACAAACTACCGCGACACTTTATGAAAACTTTGAATAATCAATTGAATATATAAAACTGCGCCACTCGAACCCTGGAATTTGTTTCCATATTTATGTACCGTCCCACTCACATGACTATCGAACATGGTCAACGTCTGTTCTTCAACAACATTGTTTTGATTTCCACATCCTCGTTTGTACTTTATATTTATTACACAGTTATACTTTCACTCTTTAACGTTATAACTCCTACCGTCAGCTATGGATTATATCAACTGGCTCAGCAATGACTGGAAGGCACTAGAGAGCAGCGTCAGGGACAGACGCGCGGAAGATACTACCACCAAACCTACCACTATCCACACCAAGTCTCTCTCGACTCGACAACCAGACAGCATATTAGATCGTAACTCTCATATTTCTCAAACTGCGCGCCTAGCTAAGGCTCGAGCGGAGAGAAAACCTGCCTCACCCACTTACGCAGAGCGACAAAGTGGAACACGCTCAGAAAACAGAGTGGTAAAAAAGTTGACGGAGGAGCAAGAGGGAGAGAAGAGCGTCACGGAGACTACTATTCCCCCAACACCCTCAAAAGCGACTATGGAGTCTCTCCAGTACAAAATATTGGATCAGAAGCACACAAAAAGACTCCGTAGAGGTGGTGAGAGCGACAGTGAGAGTACTGTGAGTGACGAAGTTAGTCTAACCGTCCCGAAAAAGAGTGAAAGCAATTCTCGTCGTAATCAGCTAGACATTCTCCCAAATGGAACGTCTCGATCAAGGAATCACCCAACTCCTCCGAGAAGCGTAGAAGTCGGAACTGAAGAAGAAGATAACGATGAGTACGACATTGACCCGTCCAGGAACGATCAAATAAAGGAGAATCAAGATAATGGTCTTGTAAAGAAATTGAAGATGTCTTCTTCAAAGAGTAAAAAGCGTGAGGATGTGTCACAAGCTAATCGTTATAGATCAACACGGATCAACGGACTTATTGATGACGACTCATCGCGTGATTCAAATAGCGATAATCAATTAAAAAACAAAGGTTTAGAGAAGAAGATTAACAGACTGAAAAAATCAAAGGGAAAGATAATGAGTCCGTCTACTTCGTCTTCGGCTTCTCTCGATGACGATGGTTCATCGTCTTCATCCGTTGTACCACTGCGAAAGCGCAACAAGCGAAACCCTCCAACTAGAGAAAAACACAAAAAACCTCGAATAGAATCTAAGAAGGATCTTATTGTTATTCCAATTGGCGACGGTATAACGTTCAAGAATTGCAGCGAGGCAGTATGGGCGATGAGGGATGACTATGTATCTTGTAAGCTTCGTACGAGAAGAATATTATGTGTTAGCAGGATTATGCTTGGATGGTAGTATATAATATGAATATATTTACGATGCGTGTTAGGGGAAAATCTGGATGCAGGTTGTCAAGATGGTACTTTGCCGAACCAGTCCGATGATAAGTCTAGTAGTAGACATCGGTTTGTCGAAGTCTCGTTAGAGTATCCTGCGAATGGTGTCCAAGAAATGTAAGTTAGAACCTCTCGTGGTATGTCTCGCTTGATTTGTGTCGAAATGCATGATAACTACATTTTCCCTCGTAGTTTCTGGATTGCTGACCCGCGAGACCCTGCAAATGCTTATGATCCAGCAGAAGATCTTCTTGATACTGTCCGTATTATAGCAGAGAAATACGTAAAAGATAAATCTGCGCGGGAAGAATATTTATGGTGTGACAAGGTGAATAGTCGAACTCCTGTCTATAGGATAAGGAGAGCAAAAGGCCGACGGGACCCAGTTTTAATGGATGAAGCGGTTAGGGCATTTAATTCGGCGTTTAGGAAATTGAAGGACGAAGGGAAAGTAGCAAGAACAAAAGGAGATAAAGATCTTTTGCGTCATGTTTTGTTTCAAGCATATAGTAGAGTTGTATCACCTGAAGTTGACATGCTCAAGGGGAAGCGTATGTTTACAAATTTATATGCACATGCCCTAATTCAACGGGGCTATTCTACTTGATTCACTTACATTTTATTTATTTATTTATCGTTAATCCTTCCGTAATCGTCTTATTGCATTCAGTCGCATCCGAGACGTATGGAGAAATTCTATTTCCATTCATTGATGATATCATAATAAGAACAAATCTTAAGAAAAAGCACAAGTTTATCGACTTAGGTTGTGGTGTTGGAAATGTCTTGCTACAAGTTGCTGGTGAGACTTGTGCAGACTCGTGGGGAATAGAACTACGACATGAGTGTGTTATGCTGGCAAATGCACAACTTGCAGAGTTTAAAGCTAGAATGAGGTATGCCATTCTTTATAAATGTTCTTTGTGAGATTACTCATTGCTGAGTACTGTACTGGACCGAAATAACCTTTTTGTTAGGGCATACGGACTGTCTCATGGAAATGTGACAATCGTAGAAGGAGATTTTACGAAATATCCCAATCTGAATGAACGAATAAGAGAGGCTGACGTCGTGTTTGTCAACAACTACAAATTTAGTCCTGAATTGAACGTCTGCCTCATTGATCACTTCTTAGATTTAAAGGATGGTGCTCAAATTGTCAGTTTAGTACCATTCACTGCTGGTAGAAAGGCTAATTACCAACATCAGTCACTGGATTCTATAAGTAAAACTGTAAAGACACCTTATTCTTCGTTCTGGATAAGTTGGGGAGGAGCAGATGCCTTTTACTACAGTAAGTATACGTTGTTAAAATGACAGTATACTTTATGAATTGGGTATGATTAGCTAATGTTTGGTTATTTTGACAGTAACAACCATCAAGAGAGACAATAGTATGCATTCATAAATTAATAAAGGCTGTGGAAATATACTATTTAAATCCGAAGGTTATTTTGACTAACAATCCCAGTGCCAGTCCAGTGGTTAAACATGGTGAACAGCAACGGTAGAACTTAATAGTAGGGTTACGTATTAGTATGCGTTTAGTGCTTTTATTAGTTTAATAAGAAATGAAAGTTAATAGAAGATAAATAGATTCAAAGGTATTAGTACGGAAGGCGGTGTACAACGTAGTTCACCGATCATCACACGATGTAGATAACTAGGATGAAATCGTAATTCACAAGTTTACATATTAACTTTTATTAAAATTTACTTTAATATATCTTGTTGGCATTCCTCTAGATTTTAAAACGGCTTATTCGTCGAGGCATGATTTCTACTAGCTTTGCTAGAACAAGTGCTTCGATATTTAAGCCATCATCCACGTTTGTGAAGAATCTAGATTCGCTATGAATGCTAATAAATAATCTGCTAATATACTCTCTCCCAGTAACACCTGCCTCAAGCATGACCGAAGGTCCGATCTTAACGAACAATAAACAAATAAATAAACGCCATCTTTCGCGTGTTCACGTTCACAGGATTACACAGCAGCATCCGCTGTCATCCTCTCCGGCCGCAAATTCAGTGCCATTTCCAGGCCCGTTCAGAGCCGGACGACCGGCATACTGCTGATCCTTGTTATATCGCCTGATTTCGCGGACAAGATTATAGAAGGCTTCATCGACATTAATCCGCTGCTTCGCAGAAGTTTCGATGAATCTGCAACCAAAATGCTTCGCAAGTTCTCGTCCCTCTGTGGTTGCAAATAATCAACGAAAGGAGGCTTTATTATCTAGTATCGTAGAGATTAAATTCTTCATAATCCATTAGAAATCTTACTAACCATGTCCAGACACTTGTCTCTCCATCTCCAAATCGCATTTGTTAGCAACAACAATTATGGGGAAATAGTCTTTGTCTTTTACTCGAAGAATTTGCTGATGGAAGGCTGTAATTTCTTCAAAAGAATTACGGGATGTAATAGAGTATACGAGAAGGAATCCTTCACCGGTGCGCATGTATTGCTCACGCATAGCGCTGTATTCCTCTTGACCAGCAGTGTCCAAAACATCCAGTAATGCGACCTCGTCATCAATAATACATTGTTTGCGGTATGAGTCTGCGGAAAACACGATAATTAGTAATATAACGAATAAGCGGCGCAGTAATATTTTATCCCGCAAACTTTTAAACTCTAAATGATTAAAACCCAAGTTTCTGTAAAATTCAACCTATTCATTATCTTTAAATTCTTCCCTGCCGCGTACCTTCTATAGTAGGATCATATTCGTCAATGAAATGCGATTGGATAAACTGAATTGTCAAAGCGGATTTGCCAACACCTAAGCGGTAGCAATAAAGATTAACTTAGACAAGAGTGCACCGGGAACAACTATTTTGCAGAAGCAACTGTTGCATAAGGTGCGAGTGGGAGATGACGGAGGTTAGAAAGATGAGTAAACCTAACTCATCCGACAACAGTTTCCGCCCTACTGCCAGACTACCTTGACGCAATGGAAGATTGTCTAGACGCAATACACGATCACAAGGATAAACATACCACCACCCCCAACAACGACAAGTTTATATTCCCTTAGAAACTGGGCTTTCGACATAATGTACGAATTATACTAAATACTAGATAGCGAATTGGTCGTGCTATAAAAACTTTTGCCCCTCTATGAAGTTTGACAGGATAGTAATGGAAGTCAGTAGGGATGTATTTCAAAAGAGAGAATATTAAAGAAACTGAAGAGAATATAGGTAGGAGGGGGGGGCAAATAGTAATAGTCTGAATTTGGCTCTGAAGAAGTGTTGCAAAGAGTCCCGACAAAGGGACAAATTTATCTGTGTACACTTCAGAATTTCAAAATGGTAAACCAATCCAAGGTGACGTCTGTCATGACGTAGATGTGGTACACGGTCGGCGTGCATAAAGGAGTTTTCTCAGCAGATTGTTTTCATCTTTTTGATTCAATCTCTTGTGCTGATTAATTGATTTTCTGTTTGATACTTTAGAAAGTACGCTCTCGATACTACGTATATTACTATTGCTTACGATATTGCCAAGTATAACATATTGCTCTAGCATATAGAAAATAATGAGTGAGACTATACGGTCAGTTCGAATTCGCGACACTGCCAGGCGAAGCAACCCTAAAACTCATGTTGTCTACGAAATTGAAGTTCGTGCAGCAGTAAGAACTTGGACTCTATGGAAGAGATACAGCGAATTTGAAGACCTTTATAAGAAGTTCATACGATTATTTCCAAATCATACTCCACCTATGGATTTACCGGCAAAGCACTTCCTACAGTCAACTTTGGGTAACCCTGTTTTAATTGAGGAGAGAAAGAGAGGATTAGAAGAATTTCTCCAAAGCATTTTAAGTGATCAAGATGATAGATGGAGAGAGACTGATGAGTGGAAGGAATTCTTGGCAATTCCTACTGGAAAACCACTCGACGCGTTATCAATGTACACTTCCGAAAGCTGGCTCGACGGTTTTAACCAGGCACAGGCCATAGCTAAAGAAATTCGCTCTCTTATCAATCGTCGACAGACTCATATTGGACATAGTGAAGTTGCTGCATCTCACAATTGCAGCTTACAAGCCAAGAAATCTTTAACATTATTAAACTCTCGAGTGGCATCTCTTGAAGCTGGTCTCCAGGGATTGGCTAAGGGATCGGGCAGGGATGGTTTAATGATGTCTGAGGGCGAACTCCGACGACGTACTGATATGATTAATGATTTGAAGGACGAAAAGGACACTTTACAAAAGCTTGTTCTAGCTAGTAGACCTGAAATTCACAATTTATCTTCGGCTGATTCAGTCGATCGTAATGCTTTGCTCCGTCAACCAGTAAGACAACGCTCATCACCTCAGTTGGGCCGCACTAATGGACCTGCAGCGAATTCTGTGAATGGGGCTGTCAAGCCGACGTCGCGACGCGTGTTTGGTAATGCTAGCGCAATGCCGCAAGAGACTGAACAAACCCGTGGACTGGATAACCAGGGCTTGGTCAAATTACAGCAACAGGCGATGTACAATCAGGATGCTCATGTTGAGCAATTTAGCGCTATTTTGAATCGTCAGAAACATATTGGAATGGCGATTAGTCAAGAATTGGATACACAGAATAAGATTCTGCAAGAGCTAGATGAACAAGTAGATAGTACGACTGGTAAACTAAAGCATGTTTCGAAAAAGATTAGCTCTATCAAATGAACTGCGATATGAAAGATGGCGCCGAAGAATGATAGGACGAGCCAAAATGAACAGAATAAGCGACTAAATCTCGGGGGGGTTGGTTGGTTGGTTGGTTTTCTTTATCTTGTGATAGAATTCATTTAATTAGATTTATCACATATATATTCGTTCTTTGTATGATTATATATTTGTTAGCTATAGGTGTTTTTTTTGAATATATTATCAATAGATTGTGATTTGTATACTGTGAACCAAAATACTGGCTTCGATTTGTAAGAATGTATATTTTCTTCATTATGAATGAACAGGCTGTATATCGATATGCAAAAGAGGAAATCGAACATTTGCAAGCATGATTGATCAACACTCGTTTTTATTATTATGGTTTAAAATGTAAGACTGATTTACAATTTATCTTACCTGTATGTGAGTAATCGTAATAGTCGAGAATGTAGAGTAACCGAATCCCTGCTTCAGTAGAGAATTTAAGCAATTCTTGTTAACGTTTGTCCGCAATACACTTGTCAGATGATACAGATTGCCATAAATCTTGAAATAAGCTTTAGCATCAACGTAATACCTGAACTATTAGTTAAAATGCTGCCCCCCATCGGATAACACTAAGAAAATTGACAATGATGAGAAAAAGCAGGGGTTATCGACAACCTTTTGGTAAGTTGTCCATTGTATCGTTTTTGGGAGCTTTAAGTTTACTTATTATTATCGCGTATAATGACGTCATAATGGTTCGTCCAATAATAATAAGAATAATTGATAATCTCACTATTTAAGTACCCCAATTCTACAGTCTTACAAGTTTATTACCTGCTATTTACTTGGTTTAGCTCAGCTCGCAGCGGCAAAAATTATATATATGACTCGTACGGGTTTCATATTGTTATGTCTTTCGGGCAGTTCGATTCTCGTTAACCTGTCTACCAAAGGCTTTTTTCATCGAAAACTTTGATATTTAAAGGATAACTCTTGTCGATATATTTTACTTGAGCTTTCTGTTTAAGCACGAAATCCGAATACTTTGGCCACAGACCTCTTTTTCGAGGAGTGTTGATTGTACGCGTTATTATCAAATGCAATTTAGGTTATTACCCTCCATCATACTGACCAATATTCCAAAGTGTAACAACATGCTTTTTATCCAGTTGACATGCGGGCAAGTTTCTGCTCGATCAACAATCGAGATTATGATTGCTTAATGTGACGGATGAAAACGAAAATTTTCTTTTTCACAGGCGTTTTTTTGGTATTTGGTTTAAGACATGTAGGTTTCAGAGCCATTGAAAGAGGACCCAAGAAGACCCAATTTACGTTTTCGTTTTCATTATGAAGCACATGGTATCGGCCAATTGTCCAAAGACGTGATGACAAAGACTGAAAAGGCAAATCAATATCATTAAAGTAAAATCAAAATTAAGGAACACGTGACAATGAAAACCAACAAACGTGCGGCTGTTGAGAAGCGCCCTAACCAGAAACATCCTTGGCGAACGATACAAGCATTTCAAATATAACGCTCTTCAAATCTTCCAGTCAGCCGCACTTTCTACCGTTAACTTTACAGTTTGGTCCATGCAGAATCCGAATGCAATGATTGATGAATGGTGCTGCTCTTTTATGCATAATGTTCTACCTCTACAATAACAATGTAAAAAAATATAGTAGTTTACTATTACACATGAAAAAAAATTAACGGTATATCATCTGCGCAGCTCTAACAAATGCGTACGTAATAAGAGCATTAAAGAATAAAAACAAGAGATGATCATTGATCCATGTTTGCCATTCACAAATGCGAAATGCAGCTGTCTTTGTCAGTTATTCTTTGGAAAATTTGTGACGTCAATGTCGTTTGTTTTGGTGTGGTACATCCATTTGTTCTAACTTTGGTTTTCGAGTTTTGGTGAAGCTTTTGCAATGTCCAACAAATTAGCGGAATCGCCACCAAGTCGCTCGTCTGGGCGGTCCAAGATTAAACGAACAACGTCACCGGTCATTAGTTCCCCTCCAAAACGTTCCCTGGATAGTCCGTCAACTCCGAAACCCCGCCGTTTAAAGTCGGATCTCGGTGTTTCAACCTCCATTCAAAAAACTCCGCAAAAGCCGGAATCGGTATGGGATATAATAGACGCCGTTTCTCTAGCGTCGTCACCAACAAATGGATCACCAAGTCCACGACGCCAAAACCTAATAGCTCGTATGACTGGTCCTTCTTTGCCTAAATTAAACGAAGGCGTCTCTCGTTCGAATAGTTGGCATCCGTCGATAACGTCTCCGACAAAGTCACCACCTCGTAGACGATTATCCGCTGGGATCCATAGCGACTATACCTCGCTCATTGAAGCTGAATTAGCAAAGATTGATACTTCTCCGTGTCCGTTGATTACATCGTCTTCTACAACAACGATGCGCAGGGAGCAGAGTTTGTATGAAGATGTTACGGATCCTGACTCCTTAATGTCCCCGGAAAACGACATATCTAACCCTTTGGATACTTCGCCCAGCCCTAGCCGACGAGGAGTGAGGTATACGTACGGAAAGAGCAGGACTATTGCAACGCATGATGATTCACCAAAGGCAGATGCATCAAAAAAGGAAAGATCTATATTTGACGTCGGTGAGAACGACACGGTTAGTACTTTTGCGTACGTTGAGTCGTTATCTTTAATCGCAGAAATATATTATTCTGTAAAAAGAAAAGTGACTAGCCGAACAGACACTTTCTTATGCCTTAATTTGTTGATATTACAGGTACCCAAGAAGAAGGATGTGAGGAGTAGACAAGAACTTCGGGAGGCTGGAGAGAATAAGTTGTTTAATGATGAAATGGAATATATAACAGAGGGTCTGGGCAAGAGACAACCGTTGAATGTACAGCGAATTAGGTATTGGAGGATAAAGTTTATGTTTGATAACATCATTTATTTTTGCTAACTATAATAACACGAGAATAACTGCAATCATAATAGTAATTATTATAATAATTGCAATCTTTCGTCAACGACAGTGCAATTACTCTTGCAAGGAAATTACTTAAACCTAAATTTATTCAGAGGGCCAAGTCGCACAACTGGATTCCTCGGATATACGATGCTTTCCGATGTCACCAAGATTCGGTAATTTATCTAATATTAATATAAAACACTATTAGCGATACATTTCTCATGTATTAATGCATACTTGTTTTTTTCACCCTTATTATTAGTTTGTGCAGTGTTGTTTTGCTTTCGTAATATGCTTCCTCGTAAAAGAAGTACAGTTTGTCGATTATCTGATCGGCAAGCCTGACTTTTTAAAATTACTTGTTGGATTCCTCGATATCACGTCAGATCCACTAATAACAACCGATGCAGCTATAAAGAGATCCGAAAAATCATTGGTTAGTCACGTTCTACTATATGATGTCTAAAGCGTATTACCGCATCAACATTAATTAATTGTGTCGTCGTCATTTCTTTCGTTGTAGTTTCTAGAGATTAAAGAGCTTGTCGGCCAAATGGATGAAGTCACGGAAAAGACTCAGGTTGATACATCGCGGGAGTTGATTGTTACATTTCCATTTCACTGTCGCGTGAGACTAAGCGCTAAATTTTTATTACGTCAATCGTATCAGATTTCGCTCAAGTTTCTGTCATTAAACGTCATGTCGATACTAGTATCGGCTAAAACACGTTATGAAGATACAATCAAGACCCGATTGCGAATAACAGGCGGATTAACAGCCGTCGTTCGTCTACTCAAAGCAGAACTCTCTCTCCCATCAAGCATCTTTTGTCAAGTGTACAGAAAGGCAAAGTAAGTAAGAGAAGCACACATGATAATATAAATGGTGTTTGCTTATTGTCCATATAATTCATGGTCTGATCAAGTACGAAACGTTTTTCGCGACAGCTGTCTTTATCCAATCCAGATGCAACGTTAAATCTTGAGAGAATCGAACAGTGTTTAAAAATACTTGAAAAATTAACGAGCTTTTGTCCAGAAAATCAACTCCACATAGTGAAAAATGAGGAAGAATTGTTCCCTTTGATGCTCGAATTCCTGCTTTATTGTCAGGTTGAAGCCTGCAACAGAGACAGTTATGAGGCATCTTTAGGTAAGAGATTAGTTTTTGAATACGTGTATATTACAGGACATTGAATTTCTGTTGTGACTGGTCATATATTCATTCATCGCTTATTGGATTCACCAGCTATGGAATGTCTCCTAGGAAGTCTCCGAGTTTTAATTAATCTCACAAATGACAACCAGGCCTGTTGCTGTTATGTGGGTCGACCTCCTGGAATGTCTGTGCTCATAAGACTTGCCATTGTTGGACAGATACCTTCTTCATCGCCGTCGCTGCCATCACCGTCGTCACCGATCGAAAAAGGACCAGAGGTCGTGCGTCCATCAATAACAGATGCTCAAGAAAAAAAATGTTGAACAAGATGCGAAGGAGACTGTCGAGGCAGTGAAATTTGATGTCTTGCTGTTAAGTCTGGGGTTGTTGATTAATCTTGTGGAAATGGATGCTGGCAATCAGGATGCTCTGAGAGAAATTGGTAAGAATAGAACTATCTTATAGCGTTATATGTAAAATGTTTGTGACTAACTTTATGACTCTTCAATTATCAGAACAAAGTTCCAGTTGCCCAGGCTCTTACGCATGTCTCAGAGGTTGTACTTGTTCTTCGAGAGAGTCAGCTGTTTCGTGTCTAGTGGATTTATACAACTATCAGTTGGAGAGAGAAACTAACCAGGTATGATTACAGCTGACTATTGTGATGCACTTCATTAATTATGCGTGTATACATAACGTCTCATGAAACATCTGTTTTTCACAGACTGATGATAACATAGTAGCCGCGTATATGGCCGTTCTTCTTGGTCTTTTAATCAAGGACAATAAATCTAATCAAGATGTTATACTAAGCCGACTCCCCAACCATTCGGTAAGCTCACTTATCGCACTAATACAAGAGTTTGCACAATTCAATGAAGTTATTGGGGAAGAGGCGTCAGCTAACGGACATGTGGCCAGTGGACAAATGTTGATGAGTGCTGGTGAGCTGGCGTTAAAGACAAATGATTTGCAGATCTCGGCAGATAAACAGAATCAGCGCGGGAGAAGTATTGGTGATTCCTTCCTGGAGATAGTTGATATGTTGAAACAATTGGAAATAGAACAGACGGTTCAGTTAGGTTATAGGTGACTAGAGTTAATTGTTTTATAAACACGGGGTGGGGTGACATACATTGGCAGCAGATTCAAGATAAATTATTGTTAATTGTAGGAAAAAGGTGATTATTTGTATACTAGAATTGCAGTGCAAGTTTTCATCAAGCATATAGTTAGCAAGTTAATTTAGCTGCTGGATAGTCGCTAATAAAATATTGAAAGCTTGTATGTTTAGCGTTTGTCAGCAATAAGTTTGTAAAATAATAAATAAATATGTGATTTTTTTTTCTCGGTTCGGTGACAAAAATACTGTAAATTTTGAATTCAAGTTTGTTTAAAGGGGACGTGTTATGTACTTAGATTATGCCAGGTCTATTAGGTCTATTCACGCACTACCGATATATATCGTTACTGTTCCATTCAGCTATAAGTTGACACAACAAACTGTACGATCAGGATATTATCGTTGATACATGTTACTTTCGGTTTTAAGGCCAAAACAATGCGATTTTGTATTGCTGCATCTAACTTATAATTCGAGATGTGTCTGGATGAACTTATTTATTGTGCTTCGCAATTAACGCTCAATAAGGTGAAGAATTGTATGTGATGTTCAATACAAGAGTTTTTTTGCCATCACTTCATTAGGTAGAATATCGTCATAACAATAATTGCTAGTTCAACCAAAAAAGAAAGTGTGAAGTCTGATAGTAACTCTGGTCTGTTTGCACGCGTAGATTTAATAATGATGTAACTCTCTAATTAAATTAAGACTTTCTTAATTCCACACGAATGAATGGTTTCTTGAACCAATCAGCCCATATTGAACTAGTGAGTACATTCTCTAATGGATCACGAAGCTGTAATTGCCGAATAAACGCGCCATTTGCGATTGTAAACGTATTTAATTGGCCCATTTAATCAACTCTTTATTTAGAAACGTATGTTGTAACGTTCAGTAAACAGAATAACTATCCACACTTGTAATTGCGATTAAGCATATACAGTGCGTTACGAAAAAAATTGCCCACGGAAAACCGAAAATATTTTGCATAATAAACAAGAAAGGCGTTGTTTATTGTCAACGCGATATTATTTACACTTAGCTATTAATCAGGTAAACGTTTTCACGATAATAACTTCGGATTGTCAGACATCCTCAAACTTGCATTATCAGTAACAATGGTTAATCGCGAATTCTCTATTATTAGAATACTATACACCAAAAAACTAATATTTCACTTCGTACAGTTAAGCATAGAAATGGTCGCCCTTCACGGAAACATGGGCAGAAGCACATTTACGCGATTGGAGCCACTATCTTCACCGATGAAACGGTTTTGATCTTTAGGAATAAGGTTCATTGGTGGTGCAAAGCCCAGATGAAATAGATGAAAGTGATGGCATGGGGAGGCATTTCCAAAATGGGGAAAACGCCTCTATTGTGCTTCACTGAGATAATGGATTGGCCCTTCTATGTAGATATATTGCAAACCCAGCTTTTGCCAGCTGCTCAAAGCATGTATGGCAGGAACTGGTGCCTGCAACAAAAATAATGATCCAACGCACCTTGCGTGTTGCCAAGAATTTCATTGTCGAGAATGGGATTCGAGTTATTGATTGGCCATCGAATAGCCCAGACCTTAATCCCATAGAAAACATGTGGCAAATAATCAAAAACAATGTTGAAAAACCGAATATCAAAGGATATTAATGAATTTAAGAAGTTTATGGTTGAAGAATGGGATGCGATTTTAATTAAAACAGTGAACAATTTAGAACAGGGATAGAAATTTTATATTAAAAAATTTTATTTAAAATAAAGTACATTATAACTTTCCGAAACATTTCGAATTGTTTAAATATCTTGTGTCGTTGTTGAGTTATGCAATTTTTTGTGACGGCAATTTTTTTGTACGTTGGATTGAGATTATAAGTGCGTGAAATTGTTTGATGACGAGTGAATGTACCTTTGTCGAGCGCTTGCCAATATAGAGAATTTGATCCTGACCCGGGTTGCAGGTACGTCTCACGGCGCCGCAAAAAAGCGCTCAATTAATTATCATTGGTAAGAATGTATCGACTATGTGAACTGGAAAATCTTAATGAGAAGCATTAATTGCCAGGAGAAAACTCGTCAGAGTTAAGACTGAGTATAGAGCTAAATCTCAAGCTCAGTTGATGGCAAATTCGCTCTTCCGTATTAGCAAGCATGTCAATAATAGTTGCAGTTTTCACTTCTCATTTATGCCGTAATGGTAAAGAGTAATCAATCTTGTCAAACGTGTGTATTCGGTAGTCTAAAGCCAGGACGCTCAATAATCACGCTCTTCTTATTGTAGAATTTAATTCTACTTCAATTTTCCCGCTTATTATTAAACTTGTACTTTTTAACACTTACCTTTATATCTTACCGATCAAGTGGGAAAGCAGGTGTATTTATACTGACTGCGAGGGCGTCCAAAATGTCGCGCGCCGGCTAGTAAATTGGACGCGAATGTAAATATTATGTCCTTCTTACGAAAAATAGATTGCTGCGGATGCACGCGTAAATATTCGCTTATTCACAATAAACGGACTCCCGATTTGGACGCGCATGTAAATACTGTATTAGTATCCATTTTCCCACAATAAATTTGTTTGACCGCAAAGTGTTCGTAAATTAGACGCGCGACTTATTCTCAACGCACATATATAGATCCGGACATAACAAATTATTTTTTTTTTGCTTGGTTATTGATGTATCGCGGTAAATGTTAATATGGTGTTGGTAACTTGTCTTGGGCGTTTATATGTTGTTATTATTACGTTTAGTTCAGACATTTTTACATTTAACACACCGCTCGTGGAGAAAAAAGTGACACGATTTTATGATAATATTACCAAAATATTAGACTTGTTTAGGAATAAGACCTTATTGGGTATGACGTTGAGTCTTTAAATTATATTTGATTTTTTATCAACCTGTTGTAAATTTGAAATATCAAAACGCGACAAAAACGTCAGAACATAAAGTAGACTGACTACTAAACAATTCTGATCCGATAATTTCTTTAAAGCCAATTTCTGCCAATGATTATTAACACAATGTTGGCTGCAAATTAAATTATGATTATTGCTATTATGTTGGAACTTTGCTGCTAACAGGAAGCAGCAGAAGTCTAGCCTAATCAAGATAAACCTTCTCGGCGAAACATAAAGATGGCCACATACCACTTAAATTTCTATTCACCACCGTTTACTTTTCAAGGGAAACAGAATTTGAGCAGAACAATGAAAGAATTCATAAATAATATGCTTGTCCCAATTTTAATCCTGTATTAATGTTTGAGTCGAGTAGAAAAGTAATGAATGGAATTGTTCTCTCTACTACTATAGTAATTATTATGATGCCGAATTAAATATTAATATAGTATAATAGGGCATTACATGTTAGTAATAAACGCGCGGATTCCAAAGAAACCGAATGACGAGAAAATTAACCAACAAGCTGGAAGGAACGAAATTTTTTGATGTTAGATATTTAATATTAGCATTTAATTATGTGACGTCATATTTCACTTTTCTGCAGCGGGCACCGCAGTGCCTGGTTTTGTTTGTTGTTAACCTTCACACACACACACACACGCTTGCTGACTGCCAATATGTCCGACTCACGCTACGGTCGCTCACATTACCGCAATGATTACCGTTACGACTATGGACGAGACTACAGAGATCGAGATCGAGACCGAGATTACCGGGACGACGATAGATACTATCGTCCAAGACGATCGCGTAGCCGGTCGAGAAGTCCAGATAGGCCTAGATCTAACGGTAGATATGACCATTGGAAAGAAGATTATGCAAACAGGAGAGAGGAAAGGTGGGGAGGAAGAGAGCATTACGACGATCGAGAAGATAGCGGAAAGAGGAGAAAAGGAAAAGGGTTTAAAGGGCCTGAGGTTAGTGTTGAGAGAAGGGAACTGGACAAGGAAACGGTATGAAGAAGCATAGCTATTGAAAATTATACATGAAGAAAAGAATTCTTAGAGAGCTGGAACAGACAATACTGATTACGATATTTGTATCATTCGAGCATAGGGGTTTTGGAGAGACAGAAATCCAAGTGAGCCGAACAACCATGTGATTTTGCAAGGATTGTCTATGCAAACAACCGAGCATGCTGTACGAACTGCGTAAATTCATTAGGTGCCATGGGCGCACGCTCTATTGTTTACAACTGACAGTTTAACGTTTCCTGTTTTCTTTATAGATTCAGCAAGTTCTGGATAGCCTAAATGCCAGCATAGAAAACATTCGACTAATTAGAGATCGCAAGACAGGTTCTTATAGTATAATATTTATTAATTATCCATTCGTCTGTTGATAAATGCATCTATGCTTTCCGCCTTTTGCTTTTATTTTATTTCATCAGGAACTCTTCATCATTCACTTATGCCAGTCTTTTCATATTGCTAACAAGTCATATCAAAACCATACTATTATCATCGCCCATTATTGTGTTTAAGGTTTATCTCGCCGATTTGCCTTTGTCAAGTTTACAAGTGTCGAACATGCACGGCAATTTATCGAAGCCAATCAACCGTTCATTACCATTGACAACCTGCGCGTAAAAGTCGAATACAGCAACAGTTCATCCGTGGAAGATGAAGGTTGGGCATGCAAGAACGTAAGCGTGGTTTCGCATCCACTCATCGACGACCCTATCCTCGTTGACTTTGGTCATGAGCATGGTCACGGAGGAAATAGTCAGAAAAAATATCAAAATATAAAATACAAAGACATCAAGTATGAAATAGAGAGTAACTGAGGATGCAAATTTCTTTACTCAAAATCACAACAAAACCGTTGTTTGAAAAACAGTGCGGTTTTCTCAATTACAAAAAGTGTGATAGTTGTCATCAATGTCAACACTCGAAAAGAGGTGTGCTTGCTCTTCGGATTACTTACAACAGTATATCATCATTCATGGAACCATATGAATATGTGGTTGTCCATCCAAGTGGCCAAAGTCGCATGCGAAGAATAAACAGTATCTTTCGTTGCATTTGCTGCATGAACGACTTTGGCTAAATTTATATGTTGATAAGAATGTTTACACTTTATACTGCTTCTTTTATTATACCATACAGAATCCATGGTATCTGGCTCATTGCATCTGGCTCCGACAAGTGCATTCTACAACGACGGTTCTCAAGATATCGGTCAAATTCCTCATCATATCCTTCTCGTGCGCGGGTTAGATCCACTCACCACCGAGGAATCTTTATACAACGCAACATTCCCATTATCCCCTCTTCGTCGAGTATTACTGATAAAAGATCGATTATCCAGAATGTCATGGGGATTTGCTTTTCTGGAATATGACGATGAACAGGTATGATTGACTTTTCCAAAGTGAAATCTAAACTTATTATCCTAACTTGTTTCCGCTGCATGAATATTTATTCCCGAAACGAATTAACGTTCACGAATCGTGTTTAGACATCATCATATGTTTTGGATTTGACGCGCAATCGAGAATATTATCCAGATGGATTCGTTATCGATTCAAAGCAGGTAACAATGAATTACGCTCACGCCGGAAGTTTTGTGCCAGTTTACGCAACGACAGAATGGACAATTTGGGGCGATGATGGAGTTGCGTTATCATATTGGGATGAAAAGGCGTATGCAGTAGAATATTCTGGGCCTGTTGCGAACAATAAGGGGGCTGTAATTGAACAGGAAGAGGAGAAACCCGAACTCAAACCCAAATTGAAAGAGCGTGGAGAAGAACACGAGACGATTATGAATGAAGATGAGCAGAAGAACGAAAAAGTGAAGGAAGAGAATATTCGTAAGTTGAATTTTGTTGTGAGTATTGAGATTGTTCCTTTGCTTCTTGTGCTCAAAAATTATTATCTTATTAGGCACAGTCGAGGACGAGTTGAATGCCTTCTATTCTGATATGGGGGCAGTTCTGTCATCAAGCAAGACAAGCGAAACGAAATCTATCTTCTCTGTCTCCGATATGGTATCTAATAAGGGTACTCAGAATCCCACCACCGCTACCGCGACTCAAATGTAATTGTAGCTTTAGAGGTATATGGTCTATTCGCAAATACGGGGAATGGGTTAAATGCTATATAGGATCAAGATTGTTTATTTATACTAGAACGACAATAAAAGACGGTTTCATAAATCTTTAATCTGTAAATTCACGAGTCACGAATCCTTTTAATTACAAGCATGCAGACAAACTAACAACTACAACGTCTATTCAGCGTGTACTGGTCCTACAACATATTGTCTAACCGAAAAAGGCTTTTTGAATGGACTGTATACATATCTCGGCGGTTTTCAAGATCGTTCATATACTACACGTTCTTGGCTTTGAAAGATTGCATAGTTACAAGGAAAATTATGACTTACTAGTATTAGATTTTACTTGTACAACTTAAACTGCATAAATACTGCACGTGTTCTCATTGTGACTCAACTTTTTCAACTTGGTCAAAAGCATATAAATATGGCAAGTAGAGCTCAATACAGTCTATCTCAACCAGAATCCTCATGAAAAGCAACAGATAAATGATTGCTTAGGACATATCAAAGCTTTAATGCATAAATTTCAACGTCTCAACTAGCAGAATACAATATCATTAACATAACGCATCTTTTCTGTATTTCTATCAGTCCCAAATACAATCGTATCCAAGAAGATTAATTGTTTGTTGTGGACTACCAGGGTCTGGGAAGACTTTGTTTTGTACACGACTATGCGAAACTCTCGAGGTATTGTTTGACTTCTCCTCTTTGATAATGGAATGGTTATATTGTCATTGTGCTAATAATTCCTCTAACCGTATCTAGGGATGGGTTAGAGTAAACCAAGATGATCTTGGGTCTCGCAATGCTTGTGAAGACTTCGCGAAACGTCGATTAACACAGGTAAAGATTTTAAAAAGGGTTATAGATCTCTTATATTAGTATGCATTCATACGTTGCATTTTGTACCAGAACAAAAATGTGATAATAGATCGATGCAACTTTAACAAAAGTCAGCGAAGAACATGGATCGAAATCGCTTGGAAATTTGACGCTCACGTAGATGCGATTGTAATGGACGTTCCTTACGAAGTGAGTTTTATATTGGTATTTTACTCTTCTTTTTACCCTCAGTTTTTTAACCTTATTCGAATTAGCTCGCCAAGTCTCGAATTTTAGCTCGTGCCAATCACCCAACAAATGTAGAAGGTCAAGGGGGTGTCGAAATCCTTGACAGATTTTGTGAAGATTACACCGTTCCTCAAATAGAAGAAGGGTTCGAACGAATTATTTACATTCAACCGCAGCAGGAGCCGTTTTATGACAAAACAACAATAGATGAAATAATGAGAAAATTACATGATGAGGTTCCGGTAACGCATAATCGGTTGGTTAGCTTGAGGCCGAATCATTATCGTGGGGGTAGAACACGTGGAAAAGGCAGTTATTCCAGGAGAGGATACCAGCGGGGTGGTGGTAACACCGGTGCGCATTACACGAGAAACTTTGAAGGATATCGTAATGACGATAACTATAGAAATGTCCGATATGATGGTCGAAACCGTGCTAGCTATGATCGAAACGAGACAAAGAGAACTGTTTGGTCACAAAATTCCGCTACATATGATAGACAGAAACAAGATGAGAAGTATCAAGAAGAGTTTCCTTCGCTTTGATTTTAAGCGGGACTAGTATGTGGAAAGCAAGATTTGGCTTGAAGTGGTATCGTACCCGAGAAGTTGTTTATTCGGCCAGCAAATTTTATTTAAAATCATATTCTCGTCCATGTACTTATAAACTGCCTAACTGCATATTTATTTAAACTTTAACGTCAAACATTTATCATTCAAATGTTTCAATGCTCCGGAGTCGGCAAATTTCAAACAAAAAAGGGAAGGGAACGGAAGAACTTTTGCCTCGTTATTATACTGGGACATTTTGCGCGCCCCGAAATTTTAGTATCACCGTAATCTATTTATATTTGAATTTTATGCATTACATTGTCATTCGAGATGTTGATACAATATACATTCATGTAGTTATTATTAATTTACGGTTACTTTTCGCCTCATTTTCTTATTTTTTACGAATTCATTGGCCATCACAACTTCTAGTTTGTAAAATTTAAGCAGCCTTGCGATCCGCCACGCTACAACAAAATGGACCGCAAAAGTGGTATTTTTATTCCAGAACACATAGTAATAGAGAAAGTCGATCAACACATTCCGTGGAAAATCACCTTGTTTGGGTTATACCATTGTTCAAAGTAAATGATTTCAACGATCGCCTCATGTCAGGCTCATGTAGATAAAAATGCTCATTTCCGAAAATAGACAAATGGGGGAGTTTTTTCTTCAATTAATGGGTACACAAACGGACCAGGGGATGATAATTTCTTGTGCATTATTTATTGTACGAAGAAGAGGTGGTTCGCATACCAAACCGGGAGCTATACACATAGCCGTAGGTGAGAATTCTTGGATTTCATATTTTCCGTTAACTTTTCGAGGACAACTTACTTCTTTTTACGTCGACTTGTTACGCTCTCAATATATTTCTTTTCTTACATCTGTCTGGTTGTCTTTACATCGTACGAAATAGAGAATTCATAGAGGCTGGCTCTCACGATCCACTGAATTTAAGCCAAGCAGACGTGCACAACTCATACGCTTCCGACTATATTGCTTTACAAACTTGGCATTTACAACCTACTTACCTCTTACCTCTTCACCTCTCTCCCTCGCCTCTTACTGCAAACCCTTTCTTCACACTCTTTATAACTCGCCCGTCATATCATGACTGACACAGAAGCACTAAACATAGAAGAGAAACGAGCCGATTTAGACTCGTCTCCCGCAACGATTGACGTTACGCCTATTGATCATACAAAGTCTGATCCGTCGTTTTTGTTAACTGAGAAAGAGACGGTTGTCGAAAAGACTGACTTGACTGATAATGATGAAATATTGGCAAGGCTAATCCAAATGGGATTTGATTTTACTGCTGCCGAGCTTGCTGTTAGAAAGACGAAAGATGGTGGATTCAATGCTGCTCTGCAGTTTGTAATAAAGCAACAAAATGGTGTAGTAGACAATAAGCATAGCGAGAAAGACGAAAAGGATCCGAACCAAGGTTAGTACAAAATTATATCTAATTCTTTAAGCTTCTAAAAGTTAACCACTTTATAACCGTTGGCAGCACTTATCATATAATGTATTTTTTGGTCATCCTATGAAACAGCGACTTTTATCCTAAAATCAACACCTACTTCTCGACAACCATTTCGTCCAAAACATCAACACCCGAGTCTCATGGTTCAGCCAAAGAAGGGCATTCTAAAACCACCAAGTCAGCCAACAAACCGGCCGTTATGGAAACGTGACTGGCTTTCTACGATCAACACGCGTATTCAAAATGCTGCTGCAGCGTCTTCGACGAATACATCAACGTCTTCGTTTTTTGCTAGTGCATTGAAAAAGCTTAATAATGTCGCAACAGTGCAAGAACAAGCTCGACCTGATAAGAGTGAATCTGTGAGTCTTCAACAGCGTTATAATAGTTCTAGTAGTTCTCTCGACGCTCTCGATAGTGACGATCAGAAACGTTTATCATCAGCATCATTGAAGCGAGTACGGTTTTCAGTAACTAATCTCACAGACGAATATCCGCATTCTCCGATTTCTCGAGAGAGCGATGAGAGTGATGAGAGTGATGAGAGTGATGAAGAAGGGTATGAGTTTGAAGAATTGACGGAGAATGGACAACAACAAAAAAAACAAAAGCAGCAGCAGCAACAACAACAACAACAACAACAACAACAACAACAACAACAACAACAACAACAACAACAACAACAA